GGTGCCCATGTGCTCATACCTATACAGCCTATATAGAGAGGATCTTACACGGGGGCGCGAAGATATGAATTTTATTTTCGAGTGGCAAAACACGAGAAAATAAAATTCATATCTTCAAGCCGCCGTGTAATGTTCTTTTTATTATACAGACAAAAAGACATCGGTAAGCAAAATAGATTTTTATTCGCCAAAAAGTAATTGCGACGGCTCAAATTTACAGTACAGCAATATGACATTGGTTACAATAATCTTGAGAAATAACATTGAGCTCAATAGGGCTCTACAATGACAAAATATACGCAACGCTTTGAAAAATGTGGAAGTAAAATTCAAAAGACCCAAGACGCCTACAAATTTCGAAGGGAGATTACCGAAATTATGTCATCGATAAACTCATGTGTGAGATTATGGAAAATAAACCACTCGGGTCCCGGACGTAGTTTTTATGAATTTTACGAGTGGTATATTTTCCAGTAAAACACTCGTGTCTACATAATAAAAGGGACTAACCCCCCGGGGCGAAAAACGCGTTGCAGATTATGAGTCTCGCTGCTTACGCAAGAGAGACTAATAAGTGCGGTCACATTGTCCATCAGAAGCTGAATATATTTGAAAGTTTGTTTTTCCTTTTGCAAGAATTTGATCGCAAAGGAGCTTCCTGGCTCAGAAGTACCTGAGACTAATAATGGCCTCATGATCGGAGGGCTTGGATCTTTGCCTGTTGTAGGTAACGGTAATACAGTGGGGCAGGGAAAACTGCTTGAATGGAGGAGCTAAAATGACCTTAGAGATGTGCTAATTGCCGCACTATTGTAACTGGGTTTTATAATCAGACCTCTGCACTCCCTGCGAATACTCATGACTTTGTCCAAGGAAAGAGCGAGGCAAAGAGTTACTGCATCTACAGACATACCCAGAAGCTCTATTTTCTACACTGAGGACAGCACACTCCTCTGTAGGTTGTTAATAAAACCCAAGCTCTCTAGGAGATTTAGCGCAGTTGCCAGATGGAGTCTGGCAGTCTGTTCTGAGTCTGCCAGGATAATGTGAAGGTCGTCCAGATATGTAATCAGGCGAATTCCCAAGTCCCGAAGAGTTGCCATCACAGGTTTCATGGCTTTGCTGAACGTCCTGGGGGCACTGGCCAGCCCAAATGTGAGGCATGCAAATTCCCATAGAGTCTTTGTTCAGATGATCCTCAAGTACTTTTGATACCCTTTCCAGACTGGGACAGTAAAGTAAGCGTCTTTTAGGTCCAGAGGCCATGAAGTCGCCTTGGAGGTCTCTTAACATAGAAATTCCCTCCTTTTTGAAATGTTGGACATCCACAAAGGAGTTTAGATTCGTTAGGTTTATAACAGGGCCGTAGCGGCCGTCTTTCAAGCTCTGTTCTTCTCTTTTGCTTTCTCGATTGCCAGGGTCGCTAGCTTCCCATGCAGACGAGGAACAAGTGGCGAAGCCCTAAGAACGTCACTCTGCGTGGGAAGCTAGAGGGTCGCTGTTCTCAATTCAAAGGGCTGAGTCGCTGCAGCTGAAGGCCTTGTTACTCTTGGCATTTTCGCCGTTCCTAGACAACTTGTACAGAACGTTAATTGACTTTCATAATTTGTTACACTTGCTGAAATGTCATGAGCATTTTGCAAGGAAAAATACCCAGTGATAAAGGGCACTTCAGTCAATCCATACTGTTTACTTTTGTCAATTAGTTGGTACTCGGAAAGTTTATTTTTGTGAAAAAATTCTAAATGACAAAATAGCAGCTCTGAGCAGCTTCCCGACAATCAAATTCTTCGCAGTGCTTCGATACAAAGATACAAGAACAATTAGCTTTTAATAACTGACAGGATAAAAACTTTCCAACGTCAACTGCAATCCGTTTTGACGAGAATTTTTTCTTGTTCATGTCTTGGCCTCTATTTAATATATTAATAATAAAATAATCTTAAATTTATAGAGGAAACTCCCATCACCTAAAGTGTTTTTCAGGGAGGTCCTCTGACTAAGATTAAATAATATTAAAACTGCTAATAACAATCAAATCTAAAAAACTATTGGTTATAAAGTTAAAAGGCTAAAAAGGACAGACGACTAGAAAAGGCAAAAAAAAAAGCAATAAAAATACAGTCAGACTAAAAGACTTAACTATCAAAAAAACAAAAGCTAACGACTAAAAGGATGAAATGAAAATTTACAAACTACAATATTTAGCTCTTAAAAACCTTTTTAGGTCCCGTTTAAAATTTTGCAAGGCGTAGGTTTCCTTAGAAAAGTCGGAAGAGTGGTCCAGTCACTAATGTACCTATACAGGGTGTCCCAAAAGTTCGTTCCTCTAATTTCATGCGCTTTAACTATTGATCAAAACTTTATTCTTGCATGAAATTTCTAGGAGATTTTTATTGCTCTATCGAGTACAAGTTCAGAAATTCAGTAACCGGCATTCCCCCTCCGTTATTTTATCACATTCTGTAGCCGTTGCAGCATGGAGTGGGATACAGCATATGGAGCCACCAGATGACTCTATTTTGAGCTTTTTTTATCACCTGTTACGCAGCAGCCACTTCTCCACTTTCACCTCCCCGCCCCCCTCCCACCCCGAACAACATTTTTTTTAGTTTAGGCAGCTGGGAAAATATACCTTAAGCATTCATCCAAAAAAAGATAACCATCACAGCCCCTATTCACAGTAACGCTTTTGTACCTCTTTACAAATTTGAGACGAATTGATCGTTGTTTTGCAGACTAAGCAGAGGTTTTGTTGCCATCTCTGGGGCCTCTAATCTTCGCTTTTCATGAAACTGCTCTAGACCTAGCTTGCTTACTATTGTGAGAGCTATCTCGTCGACTTGTCTCTTTTGTATCCAATTTTCTTTAAACCTATTTTAGCCGCTTTGTTCAGGACTATCAGTCTTCCCCTTGTGTTTTTTGGTGTCTTCGAAACCTTCGTTTCTGGATGACCATTTCACCACTCAACATTGGAAATTTTTCAGCTTTTTAGCAGTCATTTCTGCTAATAAGCCTGTAAATCGAAGTAAACATGCTTATGCTCTCATGTAGCTGAACGTTTTTGCGTTTAGAGTTTTTTTTCTTTCATGATATTCACAAAAAATAAGGAAGGAGTTTGAGCAAATCGGGCTACAAAATACAAAAAAAGTATTCGCCCACGCGCACCTTTGGCGCGGAAGTACACAAATCGAATATTAGAGTCACAAGATGGCACAACAAGTATAAAATATTAAATTATATAGTGATTTGCTTACCAAGTCCAATCGTACTACATTACAGTCCTATAAAGTAGAGGAACGAACTTCTGGGACACCCTGTATACGACGGCTTCCAACTCCCTTTTTTATCGATTGTTACTCCAAGAAATTTACGTGATTGCAAGTCGAAATCATTAAATAACGAAAGCATGGTCTTACTCCCGGCAAGCATTAGTTTAGTCTTCTTCACATTTATGGCCAGTTTGTTTTCATACGGCATGTCCTATTAAAATCTCGCGCTAAGATGTCTTGAAACTCCACGGAAGTTGACGCTGTAAAAATCAATACTTGGTCATAAGCATACAGAATCACCCGAGCGTTTTTAACTGCATTTGGCAGGCTGTTAACATAAATGTTGAATAACAAAGGGCCCAAAATGCTCCGCGGTGGGACTCCGTATGTGATAGCGCGACGATCAGACAATTCACCAATACTCTTTGACGTCTGTCAGCAAGACATAATCGGAACCAACGCAGTGATCTTGAAGACAAACCTAGAGACTCTAACTTCGTCAAGAGATTTTTATGATTCAGAGAATGAAATGCCTTCGAAATATCGACAAACAATAGACCGGTGACTTTCCCGCCGTCCACAGCCTCTAGGCCCCAGTCATTTAATTTAGCGATAGTCTGTTGAGTACTATGGCCACGCCTGAATCCATACTGATGTTTGTAAAGATAGCCTAGCTGATCTAGATGAATACTCAGCTGAGTATGTACAACTCTTTCCATAACTTTGTTCAACGCTGGCAGTACAGAGATAGGGCGGTAGTTCTCAACTAGCAGCGTATCATCGGTCTTATGTAAGGGGGTAACGTACGCCACTTTCCACAACGCTGGGACTGTTTCATCGTTAAGTGATTTATTAACCAGAAACGTAATTGACGGAGTTAGCTCCTTGCCAGCATCTCTCAGCAGTCTCGCAGGTATTTTATCAAGGCCAGCCGCCTTATTTATTTTCAAGGAACGCAGAATCTCCTCCACAGTCTTATATCCAACCTGTTGGAAGTCCCGGGGTTCTCTGTCATCACACTTCCTCTCAAGCTCGTACTTTTTCCAAGCATCTGTATCCACAGGAGGTAGATGCCCGGCTATTTTATAGCGCCAATAGTTGCAAAAAACCTATTGACCTTCGTCGCAACTTCCTTTGGTTCTAATAGAAGACGTTTGCCGTCTTGTACTTGTAAAGGCAAACCAAAATCTTGCTTAGAACCAACAACGGAATTTAATGAGCGCCACTGCTCCTTTAGATCCGTAGCAGACTCGATCAGGTTCTTATAGTGCAAAGCCTCTGCGGATTTTAACTTTTTGTTTTTTAGGTTTTTGAGACTTCGATAATTATCCCATTGTTCCTTCGTGCCTGATTTTTTGGCAACCTTTTTAGCATAATCTCTTTCAGCCATTAGCTTTCTTAGGTCATTTGAAATCCACGGCTTGGACGAACTTATCATTCCAATTTTCTTTAAAGGTGCATGCCTGTTTGAGCCATCAACAAAAAGATCGTTCCAGATGCCCAGGGCATCATTGATATCATCGAAAGATTCCAAAATACTCCAGGGAATAGCTGCAATGTCCTTTATGAATTCTTCTTTGTTGTAATGTTTGAAACATCTTACTCCTCTCACTTCAGGAAGAGCTTTAAAAGTGCCGCCTTTCTTAATGGCAAAAAAAACGGAGTGATCACTTGCTCCAACATATCACTCAACAAGCTACCAACAGCCGTGGAGAAACATTTCGTGTCTTTTCAAAGATCTTTCAAAATGAAAATTTTCGTAGGCAAATCCTTAAGATTGGTGTGGAGTCTTTGTTGACAATAGCTTGAACGCTGTGAAAAGTTGTGAGCAAGTTGGTGTGTCGTTTAGCTGCTGTTTCCTTGGTGCGTTTTGCTTAACTTAAGTTCATGTGTGCAATATATAACAATTATTGGATTCGGTTTCCCATGATAGCGAGAATTATCAAGACTTCGGTTTGTTTTATCCGCCTTAGCCTTCGGCTTTGGGAGATAACTCAACCTTAGCTTTGATAGTTTTCGCTATCATGCTCGACCTCATAAAAATTGTTAATTATTACTATATGCTTTTGCTATTCATTGACATGATTTGGCACACTGAGTCCCTTGGTATCACAGAACTGCCCCTACCCTATCCCTTTAAAAACACTGCCATAATCCACCCCTAAAAGTGTTCATTAATGTACTGCTAACTTCCCTTCATGATATTTGTTTTTTCTAGTTCATTTCGTTAAATATTCGATTGGCCAATCTCCAACTTGGATTTATCAAACAGTTGAACCTAATTCGACGTGTACGTTCAAATTTGCCACAGAAAGCGGCTTCTTCCTTGAAATTAAGTCCTTCGCACTGATTGCCGGTTGGAGATGTTCTCCTGATTGCCGTGATATATGTGGACATGGACATGTGAAAATCTGGGATGGGCAAACGCGAAACGACCAGCTTCTCATTGGAACTTACTGCAAAAATATGTTTAACCTTAAGTCAGTGAGGACCACTGGGAAACATATGTTGGTTGAGTTTTACAGTCACGACGATTCCTTTACCTTTGAAGTAGGAATAATGTCCCGAAAAGGTCAGTCTTTCCCATGTTGTTAGTTTTTTGGATCCTTAAATTAATGTTTTCCTGTTCTTGTTTTCTTGAGCCTCTCCGGGGAAGGAAGTAAAGGTACAATGGAACCTCGGTTCAACGAACCTCTATATAACGAAGTCCTCGGTATAACGAACGATTTTAATCTTCAGCCCGGCCAAATTACAATAAAATGTATGGAACAGAACATCTATTTAACGAAATCCTCGTTATAACGAACACAATCCACAAGCGCAAACGTAATAAATACGTCGATATAACGAATAAATGTCAGCGTGTGATAAAAGATAAATGCCAAATATACCAACAAGGATAAACTTTATGTGTACAGTAATTTTAAGCAGGTTTGTTTGCCTGTTCTTGAGTTTCTAGTGCCATAGCTATGTATAGCTCGGTACCGAAATTTTGTTATTTTTTAGTAATTTTTCAGATCCGGAAATCCTGGGTTTTGTAAATTAATTTAGACCAGCTGCAAAATGATACTGGTTTGAGCATTGCTGAACTGAAGAACATCATGGAAAACCGGAAGGAATGGATGAAGCTAGTTAATGGAGTTCGAGTTCGCTCGAAATAAGCAACTATACCTCTATATAACGAACATTTTGGTAGTTTTCCCGAACATACGTTAAGTGGAGGTGTTCGATATAACGAACAAATTTCCCAAGTCCCTTGGCACTATCGAGGTTCCATTGTACAGTGATTTCTCCCTGGTTTTATCAGGAGCGGTCCTGTGTGCATAAGGTTTCTCAAGAGAGTACTAGATAAAACTCTTGCATTCCCTAGGGGCCGGTTCACGAAAACGACTCAAGTATTTGCACAAGTTGCATACACAGGCAGAAAACCATGTGGATCATTTGACCAGATTTTGTCTGAATTGTTAATGTTGACAAACTGCACTACGCAGGTTGGTAACGCCTTTATTTAGTGACTTTTCCCAACTCACCCTTCCGTGAGTTGCCCTTGAAGAAGGTGTTGCCCATGCTCAGACTTTCCTCATTAACGGTTTCCGAATTAAATTGAGTGTGAGAGAAAGGTTTGGAACAAACATGTGTTTGGTCAGCCTCAAATTCTCTGAGGAAAAGTCTTCTTTGATGAGACCGGAGGGCTTTTTCAATGAGCATCTTGAGATGAAATGTCCTCAAATTTTAAGTTTGGCTGTGTTGCTTACACTCATACTTCAATTTTTTGTGTAAACCATCCCTTAGAGTCACTTTGATTCTCGTATGGACACCCTTGGTGACGACGGGATTAGCTTTAGAGGCCTTGATATTAAGGTGCGACAAGAGTCTTCTAATGAAAGAGGAAATGATCCTTGCATTTGAATAAAAAGCCCAAGCGGTTGAAAACCAGGAATCAAACCCTAACCTCTGCGATGACCGGACACAACGCTCTATCCATTAAGCTATTCAAGCCATCTGTAGACTGTTCACAGTCGTCTATTTTTCCGTAAGATCATCGAGATCGAGAGCTTTGCGTTACGGGCTACCCATCTTGCATGAGTGTCAAAACTACCTAGGGGGCGGGGGCGGTTTGGGAGAAAGCGAGAAAAATAGACGGACTGTAATAACATCACTGCAGCTCGCGTTCAGGAGGCGTGACAGGAATTTCACGCCTTATACCATTCATTAATTAAGAAACTCCGCTGGTGATGAAAAACATGCCAGACACATTTAGCATCGATTACGCGTGTTTACAAATATCTCCTTTCGAAACAGTGATTTTATAATGTTTCTGGGCCATTCCTCGAAATAAAATCGGCAAACATACACAAGAAAGCACTACGTACTCAAAATACCAAAAATCCTTCGTGCGTTTGCGCAAGATGTGCCTTATCGTTATGAAAGCGTACGTTTCATGGAAACGTCGACTTGTCAACGACTTGTCAATGACGGCAACTTAAACGAAACCCGTTGTCAACGCAAATTAACATCTATTGTCTAATGACCAATCAAACGCCTGCGTTGCTGGTACAACGCGCTCCGTGAACGCGAGCTGCAGTGATGTTATTACAGTCCCTCTATTTTTCTCGCCCTTCCCCCGCCCCCTCGGTACATTTTAAAATCAAGATAGCCGTTACGGTAAGAAGACGCGGTATATCTAAACGATCTCACGAAAAAATAGGGGACTGTGAACAGTCTAAGCCATCTGGAGAGAAGGCCATTGTGAGTTCGTGATATATCCGATGGTGGACATGACTTTCATATCTTTATCGACAGTTCAAAATATTAGCCATTTCGTATATTTCCTTTCATATCATTTCCACCATCAGGAGATTAGCTTAAGATAGAGCGTTGCGTCAGGTCATCGCAAACGTCAGGGTTCGATGACCGGTCAAGCCTGAATTTTTATAGGTTCTTTTTCAACTGCGTACGTTGTTTGTTCAACTGCGAGCATCATTTCCGCTCTTTCATATCTTCATCCGCAGTTCAAAATATGATTCATTTCACATGTTTCCATTCAAGAGTATTCTTATCTGAGTGAGAGAGAGTTCATTTAAGTTTATTAATATATAGATTTAGCCAGGGCTAAAATCGAAGCTGTCGATAATATTTGTAGTTTGTTCAAACAAAATATAAAATCGTGTGCTAAGCGGTGAAGGCAACGCCTGACAACGGTGAAAAAGAACAATAGGTCTAATTAGCAAAGAAACAACTTTGCGCGCGCATGCAGCACATTTTTTTGTACATTTCTTTGCCGTTGTTTTGCACGAATACAACTGGAAACTTCCAGAAACTTTTTTATGGAGGAAATGTCGTACGCATTCTCGTGAACTCTTTTTTTCACTGCCGCTCACTTTCTCCTTGCATTGGTGGCCGCCAGCATTTCTCATTTTGTGACCGCCGCTACAAAATAATCATGTTGTTCTTCCAACAAAAAATTTCTCCTTTGTTTTCTATCTCTCACTCTAGATCTCTGCCGCCCTTTTTTCTCGTTGAGTTTCGCTGACCTGCCGCCTACTCGCTCTTTTTCTCCGTCTTTCTCTCGCTCTATATTCCAAATTTGTGGACATGACAGTTTATGTAAGCTTAATACTTTAGACAACACGGATACAGAAACAATTTCTTCTTTCCGTTTTCGTCTTTATTGACCTCTTTAGCTGCCTCTGTTTTACAAGACACGGGTGGCTATGCGATTTCCCGCCAAAATAACCTCGAGTTGCATTTGGGTTGCCATACCTGTTGGTTGAGTTATTTTACATTGGTATGCCTGTGGTGCGGTTGGACGGTCTCTCGGTCGGTGTACGGTTATGTGATTACCAAATTTTCTTACCCATGGTGCTCCGCCTTTCAAACTTCTAAAACTTCTAAAACTACAAGTTATAGGCCGCATACTTCCGAATTAAAGTCTATATCTAAACATGAATTACTGTTTCATTGGAGGAACTTTGAGAAATACATGGTCTTCTATACTCTACCTTGAAGCAGGTGAAACAGTACTCGTAAATTATGAAATACGTGCGTTGTATCGTTTACGATAGCCGAATTAAGTCAGAAATGTCTTAAAGCAGCACCCACACTAAAATATGAACTCTTCAACAGCTGCATCAATGTACTCAGTGTTTGAATCAGGAAGATATTTAAATGTTACGCCTCTTAACGCCTTAAGCCGGAATAAAAGACGGAAAAATTGTGAAGAATCAAGATGGCGGTCTCAAAGTGCCCCTGTTTGCCCCTTAGCAATGTCATGTTTAGATACCCAAATCTCACTGGTTCCTATAAGCATCAACTCATGGTACCTTCAACCTTATTGGACCCTGCAACACACATCCGAACAGACAAAGCCACAAAGATACATACGCTCAGTCCACAGACATATGAGTTGCTGTCTGTATAACCGGGGAGTCTGTAACAGCACGATTCGCAATGAAAAAGTTGACTGCAATAAGTATGGCAAGATGAAACTTTGAAAGTAACCTGACGAATAATTTGATTCTCTTTTCTTTTAATTAAGGCACGTTACGGTTGGTCATTGAAATCGTCTTGCCCATTGTTGTGGCGATTGTGCTTTGTTTCATCCTCGGTAAAGTTTACTGCTGTGTCAAGAGAAGGCGGCGTTCTTCAAGACCACTAACGCCGCGAGTGCGTGCAGGTGAAGTTTCTCAGCAGCCTGTCCCTCACAGGCCTGAAACGTCTTCGAGATTCACTGACCGTGTTCCACCTTATACCTTGCCGCCGTCGAACACAGAGGATGCTCCGCCTTCCTATGAAGAATCATTATGCTCAGCCACTTTTCCACTTGCACCCTCCATGGCTACTGTACAAAGTTTTCATCCTCAGCACAATTCGGTTGGCTCTTCTCCCCTTGAACCCGAAATTCTATTAGTGCCACTTTCTTCATCTCATGGTGATACAAATTAGGCATGACCATGAAAGACACTGTGTTATTGAAGCTGCAGCCTCTGAAAACACAAGTATTAATTTTAATTTCATGAGGATCCATAGTTTACTGGTATAAAAGTTTTGGAAGTTTTTCTGTCTTTTCTATTTCGAAATTGTCCAGAGCAAGCTAAAGCTACTTGCACGCAAGTTATTCTTATTATTATTCTGAACATGGGTCTGTCGCGAGATATTTTAACTCGTGATTCTTATTCAACTTACACTGAAGTAATCTAAAAATTAAAGTAAACGTAGGTTTTAGAATATTACTGAGTCTTGTAAAATAGAAATACACCAAAGAGGTTAAGTAACCTATAAATGTTTGAGCATGATTCAGGATGTAAGAGATTGACATAAATCAGTAATATAGCAATCTCGCCTAATTGAGGCTAAATTTTGTAAGATGCATAAACTTTGACGTGCACTGAGAGATCGGTAAATGTACGAAAATTTAATTTTAAACAGAACTACCAACCGGTCATTGAAAATTTAAGGTTGAACGCCTCGTTTGCGATATTAGTTCGCTCATGTTAAGAAGACGCATTCAGTGCGTATTCATACTTGTGTATCATTCGCAATTCGCATTTATTCAATGTTGCAATGTCAAGAAAATAACAATAAACCCAAGAAATTGTAAAAAAAAAAAAGGGAGTAGAGGACTATGGCCAGGGAGGTACTGCCGGACCCCATTATTTGAGCGACTCACGTCAACCGGAAGTGAGGCATTTTCGCTTTTAATATTCCTTGACGGTAAAAAAAATTGTACTGGTATAAGTTTTTTTACCCTTATCCGAAACCCTTTACCCTTTACCCTTATACCCGAAAATCTGGGCATAACCTTTGCCCAAGAATGAAAAAATCCACTTCTGGTTAACGTGCGTCACTGAAAAAAGTCTCCTTTACTTATAAGCCCCCTAATTACCTGTGTACACCACATGATACATTCATCAAAGCGAATGCAGTCGTTTAAACAAGGTGTAAAACACATGACTTGTGCAACAAAAATGGAAGATCGTGAGGCTTGAAATGTGAACGGGAGACGAAAAAATACAGACACTCGAGATTAGAACGTGCTTTCCTTAAACGTTGAACGCAATGCCAAACTGAAGAGCAAATTTCAAATAAATTTTAAATATTCCTGACATAGTATGGACTCTGCAGCTGATACTTTCATATTGAAGTTAATCATGCTGAGTATTCAGACTGCTGAGGAATGGATTGAAGTCGAAGGTAAACGAGGATTCACCTCTCCTCTATGGGTTTGTAAGCAGTGGTCCGTCCGGCTGATGTAGGCGTTATTGACCAAGCTTGTTCTGTCTAGCTAGATGTTACAATTAATTCAGCCTACTTTTCAAAATATAGAGTCCCTAGTCGGTACTCTATACTCAGTCCGCGTTTTATACCCATTCCGCAGTCTGTGGCTCATATTCCACATTCTACTGCGCAGTCTTAGTCTACTCACAGTCACGTAGGGTCAGCTATGGTTCCACAGTTTGAAACACTTTGCGAAACGTGTGGGAAGAGTTCAATTCCAGGTCTGCTCACTGTGCCACTGATGATGCATGCATGATCATGAATGGCAGACCTTCTGAGTAGACTACTTAATTTGAAAATTACCATATGTTTATTAGCTTGTTTACATTAGTGAGTAAATAACTGTATCATAGCTATTTCTAAATTTATTTTTGACGTCATTGCTAAACGAGTATTTACCAAAATACATTTTGGCTGTTTCTCCCTCGGTTGTATTGTGGTCAATGGTCACAAACTGTGTCGTCATTAATCTACTGATGTACGTAGTTCATCATCATCATCATCATCATCAATCTTTATTTATACACGAAATCGTATCATTTTTTCATTGTCTTCCTAGGAATCGTGTGTAAAATTACACTAAAATACTCTAGGGAACTACTTGATTATTAAGTGAAAAACACAAAAACGTACACTGTTCACTGTGCAGCAAAACTGTGTTTTACCTTACTCTCAGCTCTTTTCTCCGAGCTCCCGATAGCTCGAACTTTTTTCGATTTCCCCTGAGGGTTCGAGTTATCGGGAGTCGACTGTAGTTACAATGAGCCATGGTGTTTTAACATAATCTTTCCCATGAAATGGAGTTTTAAAAACATTTAAACTAGGCAGGTTTCTAATCTCTGAGGGAATCTTGTTCCACAGAACAGATCCTCTGTATGGTAGGCTCCCTTTTGTAGACTCAGTTCTGGGTCTGGGGAGAATTTCTACAAGATTATATAAGTGCACATTTGAGGTGTTGGTAAAGATCCGCCTCAGATACGAGGGGGGAAGGTCATTATGGATTTTATACATTGTCACAGCAAACTGTTAAAGTCTTACATATTCTAGCCTTTCCCAACCATGCAACAAAACACTTGAGCGAACCTCATACGTAGTTAGAAAAGGTGAGAATTCTAGCAGCCCTATTATGCATCTTTTGACGTTTGTCTGCTAGTCTCTTATTGATATTACCCCATCAGCGCTACAACAGTAATTAAAATATGGCATTACCAGTGCATTGTACATACTCACTCTAGTATCAAATGGTATAAAATGACTTACACACTTTAAGGTAGCAAGACCAGGGGATATTTTCTTTGAAATGGTATTAATGTGTGGGCGCCAGTTCAAAGATTCATCAATTTGAACTCCAGGTGATTTATTACTCTTTCTAACGGTGTATTATTGACTTTGACTGTGAAGTCACTATTTATTTGGGATAACTTAAATTGAATCCCTATAAGAATGTATTTAGTCTTCTTAACATTCAGAGTTAATTTGTTTGCTGCATGACAGCCATGACTGAATTAAATTCAAATCATAATTTTTTTTATGTTCAAGGACACATGGGTCTCCTGCAGATGAGGTAAGGGTAGTATCATATGCATACATTCTTGCTTTTGAAAACAAATTACATGAAGGGGGGATCATTAACATAAATAGTAAATAAAAGAGGGCCAAAGATAGAGCCCTGTGGAATACCACATATTATATTACAGAAATCAGATTGAGCTCCATCAATAAAGGTTCGTTGCTTTCGGTCAGATAGGTAGGACCGGAACCAGGTAAGAGATTGAGAACTGACCCCATAGAGTTTTAAGCTTTCCTAGCAGAATAGCATGATCCAGGTGTCCAGGAATATCACACCATTTAAAAAATTGTTGTCAACATTCCATGGCCATTCATTTGTTACCTTAAGTAAAACTGTTTCGGTAGAAAACATTGGTTTGAAGACAGATTGTGATTCAGTTAACAAGTAATTATTATTTAGATATTCATATAGTTTATTGAAGATGAAACAACAACAACATGATATTAATTTGAGGAGGACTCGGAAAAAAAAAATCCGAGTCCCAGATGGGATTTGAACCCACGACCCTCCGTGATCTAGTCGGATGCTCTAACCACTTGAGCTACTGGAGACTCTATGGTGAGCAAGGGCCAATTTGTGGGTCTCGACTGGAACCGCATCACGCGGCTACACAGCCAAGTAATGATAGGCACACAAGAAGTGAAGAACTCACTAACAGCATCGCGCTGTCACCTTAAAGCATATCCAAGATGCGGCCAACCAACCTCCAAAGTGAGTATATTGAAGATGAAACAACAACAACATGATATTAATTTGAGGAGGACTCGGAAAAAAAATCCGAGTCCCAGATGGGATTTGAACCCACGACCCTCCGTGATCTAGTCGGATGCTCTAACCACTTGAGCTACTGGAGACTCTATGGTGAGCAAGGGCCAATTTGTGGGTCTCGACTGGAACCGCATCACGCGGCTACACAGCCAAGTAATGATAGGCACACAAGAAGTGAAGAACTCACTAACAGCATCGCGCTGTCACCTTAAAAGCATATCAAGATGCGGCCAACCAACCTCAAAGTGAGTATATTGAAGATGAAACAACAACAACATGATATTAATTTGAGGAGGACTCGGAAAAAAAAATCGAGTCCCAGATGGGATTGAACCCACGACCCTCTGTGATCTAGTCGGATGCTCTAACCACTTGAGCTACTGGAGACTCTATGGTGAGCAAGGGCCAATTTGTGGGTCTCGACTGGAACCGCATCACGCGGCTACACAGCCAAGTAATGATAGGCACACAAGAAGTGAAGAACTCACTAACAGCATCGCGCTGTCACCTTAAAGCATATCCAAGATGCGGCCAACCAACCTCTTTCCGAGTCCTCCTCAAATTAATATCATGTTGTTGTTGTTTCATCTTTAATATACTCACTTTGGAGGTTGGTTGGCCGCATCTTGGATATGCTTTAAGGTGACAGCGCGATGCTGTTAGTGAGTTCTTCACTTCTTGTGTGCCTATCATTACTTGGCTGTGTAGCCGCGTGATGCGGTTCCAGTCGAGACCCACAAATTGGCCCTTGCTCACCATAGAGTCTCCAGTAGCTCAAGTGGTTAGAGCGTCCGACTAGATCACGGAGGGTCGTGGGTTCAAATCCCATCTGGGACTCGGATGTTTTTTCCGAGTCCTCCTCAAATAAATATCATGTTGTTGTTGTTTCATCTTCAATATACTCACTTTGGAGGTTGGTTGGCCGCATCTTGGATATGCTTTAAGGTGACAGCGCGATGCTGTTAGTGAGTTCTTCACTTCTTGTGTGCCTATCATTACTTGGCTGTGTAGCCGCGTGATGCGGTTCCAGTCGAGACCCACAAATTGGCCCTTGCTCACCATAGAGTCTCCAGTAGCTCAAGTGGTTAGAGCATCCGACTAGATCACGGAGGGTCGTGGGTTCAAATCCCATCTGGGACTCGGATTTTTTTTCCGAGTCCTCCTCAAATTCATATAGTTAGTTAAAAATAACTCTTTCAATTTATTAACTTACTACAGGCAGAACTGAGATAGATCAGTAGTTGTTAGGATCAGTCCTGAGGTCCTCTTTAAATATTGGCGAAACTCTAGCTCGTTTCCACGCATTTTGAAATATTCCAGTGGTAATTGAGAGACTTATTTATTGAGTTATTGAGCTATTGTGTGGTTATTCAGCTATTGTTGGCCGAAAAATAATAATAATGAATAAAAATTATATGTCATCTGTTCCTTAAACGGCTTATCTTTTCTATATAAAACCTCTATTTCCTTCTGCAAATTCAAAGAAACTTCTTCAGGGTGCTGTGTTGCCGAAATGAGGTTCGGGGAGACCCGGTCTAAACACGGCACTGTATAGCCAATGCGAGCGCCCTCCTTGAGCGTACTAAGCAGATTATATACAAAGGTTCTATCAGGATGAGTAGCTAATTCTAACTCTAAATGATAAATGTCAATAGGCGCGGATACTAAAGGCTTGTGATCAGTGCCGTTGCTGCTCCACTTTACTTCTTGCTGCGGTCGCTCGGTCTTGGGGCCTTGTGGCGCTACTGGGCTGTGGCTGGGTGCATTCCGGGGCGGTGTGGGTGCTGGAATAGCAGCGGCGGCACACGTGGGGGTAGCTGCAATTTCGACGCCGGCAGCCAGAGGACTTGTTGAAGTCGAAGCACACAGTCTGTGGGCGGCGAGATTTTCTGTTAAGGTCAGCAGAGGGACAGACATCCTCAGCGTGATAAGGACTTGAGCAAACATTGCAGTGGGGCTTAGCGAGGCCTGCGAAAGTCACTGTCCATAGCTCAAGGTCTACCTTATCCCAGCTCAGGGACAAGTCATAGGCCGCCCGGCGACAGAACAGCTGGTCGTACGATAGCCAGGCCAAACCCTTAAATTTAGCTACTGCTCTGCTAATAATTTGCTGGTATTTGATAAGCTCGAGCGCCCGTCGTGGGTAGGCATTCACAAGTACTAACATGTAGGTTATGTAAGCGTCGAGTCACTTGGGGAAGGTATCAATTACTGGTTTTTCTTTCTGACCAACCCATGGGGCCTGAGGACGAGTCGTCCAAACGGAGCTGAATTTCAGGGGTCTGGGACTGGTATAATGTATCGGGCAAAAGTAAGGCAAAGTTAATGTACTCACCCCAGAGTATTTTTTCCTCCAAAGTCTTGTCTACTGGCCTAGAAAGACCTAGAGGGGAGGCCATGCCAGGTCTGAAGAGATTTTGAGGCGAGGCAGAAGGAAGATGGGCGGCTGGTGAAGGAAGATGAGCGGCTGGCGAAGTTTGAAGCGTTGTTACGGAGGAGCGGACTGAATCAGTCTCGATGGCCTCGATTGCTGCACGCAGAGTTTGGCTGAAACCGGTGTTCTGTTGGAAGTTGGACTCGTCCGGCTCAGGATCCGACTCGATCATTTCGTCGATAGAGGACAACGAAGCACGGTCTGACGGGGCGTTGTCTTCGTTATTAACGTTGTCGAGGTTCGCTGAAAGGCTTTCCGACGAGTGCCTAGTCGCCGTGGTGGTTCTCGTTGAAGGGCGCCCCTTACCAGCTTTAGCCTTGGAAGCTCGCTTTGGTTGCGCTGTGGTCGACGTGGCCACTTTTCCCGGCAAGGCCTGCTTCAGTCGATTTAGCAGCTGCCCTTTGGATCCCGTAATGGGAAAGTTCAGGGCTTGAAGACGGAGTTTGAGCACTTCGCTTGATAACGCGGAGAGATCTTTTTCACCCTGGCTGGATGCACGGTTCGAGTGCGAAATGGTACGACGAGGGCGAGCCATTTTAAAAATTTTACAAGAATACTATACTGAGCGCTAACCTTGCTGAGTGAACTCTGAACACTTGCTCTAGGCTTTTATAACTAGACAAACGTCTGCTGGCATAGCCAGTAGAAAAGGCTGTACTACAAGACAGCTCAGCGGTGCACGTGCGAACTCTTAGCCATGAATAGTGCATTGAAAAAGTTGGCCAATGCTGTGGATCGTACTAGCCTGCTAAAGACAACAAGGCCGTAAAGTTCTACGCTAGAATATAATGTATCTTAGAGCTTCTGACCTTGGCAGCTTGACTACACAACTGCTTTATTGAAAAAGAACCGCCATGAAAGGGTTACTGATAACTAGCGTCGCGTTCCATTAACTACATTTTACTGGCGTGACAGTAAAACTGCTTTTAAAAACAACTCTTTCAATTAATTAACTTACTACAGGCAGAACTGAGATAGATCAGTAATTGTTAGGATCAGTCCTGAGGTCCTCTTTAAATATTGGCGGAACTCTAGCTCGTTTCCAAGCATTTTGAAATATTCCAGTGGTAATTGAGAGATTTATTTATTGAGTTATTGAGCTGTTGTGTGGTCATTCAACTATTGTTGGCCGAAAAATAATAATAATGAATAAAACCTCTAATACTTTCAAGCATGACAAATTTTTGAACCCGTCCACGTGTCCCTGGGGGCATTTTTCGCAGTCCAAGTGCGGCTAGTATAGTGGGCACCGTTGTCCCAAGTAAAATGCTAAACCTCATGCAAGTAAAGCAGTCAGTACAAATAGGGAGATTAGGGAGCTTAAAGCAACCAAGACGACGACGACCACAACGACGACTTCAAAAAAACAATAGGTTTAATGATCAAAACAAACGTTCTGCACGTGCATCACGCTTTGAAGTACATTTCTTTGACGTCCACTGCACGACTACGACCTGAAACCTTCTAATTTGACGATTTATGGAGGACGTAGACATACTAAGACGCATTTCCCTTCATCTTTTTTAGCCTGAATAAAATCCTTAAGAATTCAACTCCAGGAAAAGTCGCCTACATTTGATATATTGAGCGGATCCAAATAGAAGCGATTAAGTTTGAAAGAAAGCAACTGATTCATTGTTTTACCGTCGATTTCACTGCCGTCGTCGTCGACCTTGCTTAAGGTCCCGATTAAGGAGCGATGACGACGACGGCAGTGAAAAAGTCACTAATAATATGAGTTTGCCCGGGAATTTGCGCCCTTTCAAACTTTATCTCATCTACTTGGACCCTTTCACTTTGTCAAATGTGGACGACTCCTCCTGGAGTTGAATTTTTAAAGAATTTGTTCAGGTTTAAAAAAAGAGATAGGAAAATTCCTTGTCGTGTGTTCACGTCCTCCATCAAAGGTCGCATTAAGTCAATTCCAAGCGTTCCCATTACCTTGGGGCATTTTGGAAAACCTGCAAATGGCCCATTGTGGGGCCGGGTGTTTTAAGCAAAAACCTCACCTTGGGGCTTAAAAAAGTGTGCAAATACCTCACCTCGGGACAACACCAAAATTGCATTTTCCAGTAAATAAGCTACAAATACCATACCTATGGGAAATCTGTAATAAATTTATCAAAACGCGCGAAACACCCTACCGCAAATCGCTGCTACTTTTAATTATTTTTATTGCAAAAAGATTACGATCCAGCTGATTACTATTAATGACAGAACTATAAACTAAAATTAATATTAAACTAATATTACCTTTCTAGCTTATTTCGAAGACATTTGATATAGTGATGATAAACAAACAGCCGATCGTGACGGGCGTAAAATTAGTGTATTTTCTCATCACCAAAGAACCGTTTTGTCAGCGTATTAACTGTCGCGGCATAGACTTGTCACGGTTTTCGACGCCATCTTGACGAGTAGGCGAACGTGTAAGAAATAACAGTGTTTGTACGAGAATCTAACGTCGAATAATTTCCGTAAAACGGCTGTTCCGAAAAAAATATCAATTGTAAACTAAAGCTACAAAGCAAAGGTTGCCCTAAAAAAAATTTGAAGGCGTACCTGTGCTAAAATTTCTCCAGAGGCTTGCTTTAGATTTTCCATACGTTTGTCTGTAATTTTGCCGAGCCTTTGCTTGAGACAAATGTATAGGAAATTTAACTGAAGTGGTTCAAGTTCTTCTAGTGCATGTAAGGCCCTCAATTTTTTTCAGTACAATCCTTAGGAGTGAAGCTTTAGTTTACAAATCATATTTTTTTCAGAACAGCTGTTCTACGGAAATTATTCGAAATTAGATTCTCATACAAACTCTGTAATTTCTCACTCATTTGCTTACTCGTCAAGATGGCGTCGAAAACCGTGACAAGGTCTACTGGTCATACAATCCACGAAGTTGATATTAGCTTTCAAATATCTTTTCTGCCTCAACTATTCACGCACTATAAAAGAAACTGTATTTTCCTTTAAACTCTTCAAACGACACATTGATTGTTTTTCTTTCCTGCATGTGCGAACTGATCTCTATGGCGGGAAGCAATTTCTTAGACACGACATAGGTCCAAATATGACCTACCTACCTCTTTGACGGCCACCCGCTGTCCAAGAAGCCCTCGACTCCGAAAATGAGTTTGGGTATCGCATATATGAAATATGTACCTGTTTTCGCGGTGTTTTGCGCGCACATTATCAGTAGTCATCAAGTCATGGTTTACTTCTCTCGAAATTTTACCTTTGTAGAAAACGATGAGCAAACCCATAAACTTGTTTTTTGTCACTCGAAGGAAGCGCGTTCTTTTACAACGCGCAACGCGCTGAACGTCAACATGAAGAAAGAGGGAGTGTTTCACTGTGTTTTACAGAGTGGCCGTGGAACAAACGAGAGAGGCTGTAATGGACTGCCGGAATATCTTTACACAGGAAATGTTGACATCAATGAATATTATGTCTTTGATTGGTTTCAACTGGAAGGTTTTCGTCTTGTTCCCAATTTGAAAGTGGCAGGCATCTGTAGACACTCTCTTCTCTTCCTCAAATTCCGCCATAAGATGCCACTGCCATGACTTGGAGAAACAAGCAAGTTACAATATGATTGCTACGGAATAAGACATTTTTCAGAAAATAGAGAGGCAACATGTTGAGGTTTGGATTCCAAGGAATAAAGTCCAAGTACACAGCGAAAAAGACGATTTTCAGGTGATCTTGAAGTGAATGGACAGTGAATCGTGGATGGATATATCCATAAAGAATATGAAGAATTTTTCGAATTGTTTCTTCACATAGGGTCGTTTCCATGTTGTTCAACTCTGTATTCAGTCGTGATTTCACGTCATCCTGTGATTAAAGACACTGTAATATTCACAGAATTTATGCATTTTATGCATTGAAGAGGTGTTGTTGTTTTTGCCGGTTGCCAAGCTACCAAGGAACTACCCCAAGAGTAAAGGTTGTCAGGAAGGATGGGGCTTGTGGCATGTGGTAATAACCCTTATTATTATATAAACACCAGTGAAATACCAGGTGAGCTTTCGCGCGAAAACTTGGTATCTTCACATGTGAAAATATCACCGTTGCTATGGCTTCATAATAAATCGTACCTTTCACACCAAAAATCTGTTAAAGTGAAATGGTTTTGTACTTCATAGGTGGTTTTATAATAAATAGAACATTACATGGCCACTTGGAGATATGAGATTTCTCTTCTCGTGTTGAAAAAATATTTCACTTGTTCGCTGCACTCACTTGTAAATTTTTTTTCAACACTTGAAGAGAAATTTTGTATCTCCGCGCGGGCGTGTAGTATCCTCTATTTGTTACGTGCCTTAAGTTAACCAATGGTACAAGATAATAGATAGGTTGCCGGAAGGACACTTATTTGGAATCAGCTTGCCTGGGTTCTTGTCATAACAACATTCACATACTCAGAATAAACTATATTATTGTTTTAACAACCCCACAAGCATTCTAGCTTTAACTTTTGTCATGTCAAAATAAAGGTTTTATGTTATGGTTTTTATGTTATTGTTCAACTCAACATAATGACCCATCAGTGAGCTCTTGGGTTGCTGTAATTTTGATCCCTTAAGGGGGCAACACGTATATCAGAAGATGATTTTCATTCTGCTGTTAACTTCAAGGTTGTCTCTATTTTACTGGTGAAGCAACTATTGAGAGTGAAGAGGGTACCAGTGACTGTGGTCCAAACCTGAGGCAGGAGGTGGCAGCCATAAGACCTACATGGTGGGGTGTGTGTGCTGTTAAAGATGAAACATTTTTCACTGTGATAGGAGGTAAGTCTGATAAAGAATTGCGAGACTTAATGGGTTTAAAGTCTGTAGTTGTTTTGAAATGTATGATCCAACTCTAACTGTGTAGTTCATTCTACAAAAACAAATACAAAAAAACCTGGACTAGGTACTACGAGTGCATATTAAATTGTAGTTGGTCCATCTTGAATTAAAGAAAAGTAACAGTAGAAAGGGACTGATTGTGTGATATTTAGAGCAAGCATGTGAAAAAAACTCCACCACTGCCTCTGCGGGATTTCTGTAACCTACACCCCCCTCCCCAACCCTCATCCCCCATCGTTGTAATTTCCAGTTATCTTGTGTACCTCTGTAATATTTGATTGGTCTTACCCTCACAGAGTTTACCATGATCTGTCATTGATGAGGGGGTAAGGAATGGGTGTACATAGAATTTTTCAGGAAACATAGCCAAGTGAGGGCTACATGTATGTGTTATGTGGTTTTGTCACCATCCTTAATTTTGCATGTACAGGTAGAGTAGGATGAGCAGAAAGTACTATCAATGACAACAACAACAACCACCACTTTAGTAATTTCAAATTCTTTCTTACAAAATAAGTATGTATACAACCCATAAGAAGCAAAGGCTATTCTAGGCATGGTGTTTAAATATAATTAACTAGGTTATTTAATTTGAAAAACGTTTATATAGGAAAGCTAGAAAAACGGCAGTTGTAAGGGCACAATCAATAACACAAAAGGAGAATTTTTCAATAGTAAATGTAAAATTGTTACAGGGATGCCTCCAAAAAATGTAGTATACATGAATATAAATCTGACTGGATTCATGAAAACATGGCTTCAGTGAGTGTCTAAAGGTCCTATGTTAAGTGTGTCCTTGGTATCAGGGCAATGGGTGACTGTCTGCACCTCCCACTGAGCTCTGCAATTATCATGATAATCATTCAGCTGGCTAGGGCAAATTAAGACCAAGGTACTTGCCAGTCAAAGTCTCCACTGAACACTGCTGCTTACTGAAAGGGTTGTGTCAAAACAGCCCCCTCCCTACCCCACTATCTTTGACCCCAAGGCCTGATCCACCCACCAACTGTTAGGGCAGTCCCTGGGCTATCCAGCTGTACCAACGAAGAGGTCAAACCCCCTACTTTTTTGGACACCTGGGTGGCCTGGATCCAGGCTGCGACTGGCGTCAGGCAAAAACCTAGTGCCCACGTTTTAACAAAATCAGACAGAAATAAATGGTTAATAACATTTACATTGTTGAAAAATGCTATTTAGGACCTTGCATTTGCATATAATATTCAGCATAATAATGATAATAATAAAAAAATTAATGATGATGGTGATGGTGATGGTGATGGTGATGGTGATGATGATAATGATGATGATAAAGTTCAGCTGTTGTAAAAGTAATAGTGTATGGTTCTAAGTGGGCAAATTGCTAAAAGAACAAGGGAAGGGGAGAGGAGGGTGGGAAAGAGCATTTCATCTGTTTCAAAGCTTTATTTTTATTTATTTATTCAGTTATTTATTTATTTATTCCATTTTATTTCATTTAAGTTTGTTAAAGTTCTTCATGTTGTTAACACTTGTCGGTTACTTGATAGTAACTATTAATATACTTAAGCAGTTTTCTTTTTTCTTTTTTTTTTCTTTACCTCAATGTTTACAGTGTATAATTCATTTTCATTTATTTTCTAGACCAAATGGTGGTTTTCACTGTCATCGCTATCAGAAATAAAACTGGCTCAAAACCGCTCGATACATAAACTCCTGAATCTTGGAAACAAAAGATAATAGAGAGCTTTAGATTGCAAGACGGGGACAACGACAATACTAGTACGAGATTTCCCCAATATTAAGTACTGCGCGCGCGCGAACCAACGTCATTTTGGCGGGAAAATGTGATAGTGAGTTTTAGCGAGTTTTAGCGAATTTTATCACTTAGCGATTGGTAGAGGGCTTGAACTCCTTCAACGGAAATAAGCGTACAAGAAAACTTACAAGGAAGCTTTCCGGGTTGTTTGTTTTTAGAGAATAGCAGGCGAGAAAACTTAAAGTAAATGTTGTCCTCGTAGTAGTCCTCGTCCTCGATTCTAAAGATCTCATTATGCAAAACGCTTCGCCACCAGGAAGAAGTTGTGAGAGATGAGTCAGAGTCTGTGCAATTTTTCATATACGTTTAAAGTAATACATGCATTCTAAGACAAGGACTGTTCAGACAGCAAATTCTCAAAACATTGGTAACTTCTTAAACATACATAAGAGGCGTTGCCTGGGGAGTGTCGGCCGCCGTCTACTAAATGCCGCGTCGAGCAAAAGCTTGGAGATTCAAGCGTGCTCTATCGTAAAACCGAAAATTTTGTATTAAAAAAACTGTTTAACTGCTTTAATACCTCATGAAAGTAAAGACTTAATTGATAAAGGGCTAAATAATTGATATATTTTTTGTTATAAATTTGGTGACGTCATGTGAAAACCTGGAATACTAAAAGTTGTCAAAAGTGAAATAAAGAAAACCACGGTCAAATAGGGACACTTAAGAATTATGATGACTTCTAGCTTAAGGTGATTCCTTAGTAAAAGAACCTAACATAGATTGTAGATGAAACTGGGCACACTGATGTAACAAGTCAAGGACAAACAAGTAATAAAAAGTGGGGGTCAATGCGCTCGTTTTAACATCACAATGCTGACAAATACAGCTATTTAGGACACTTTGGCAAAAACCGCGCAAAACCCAAAACTAATAAAAAAGGAGAGATTTTTTCGATGATGCAATTGGTGTCGCACAGAATTTGATTTAAATGTATTGTTTATCCACTTACGTACCAGAAAAATGCCTTTTTATGCCCTTGAGAGGACTGGGGCAAGTTTCAAAATGGCATGTATGTGGAAGGGGAAAGAAGGCATTAAATAATCAGTTTTTCAGAAAATACATCGAGATATCACTGTTAGGACGCAATGTACTAAAGATGGCTCTTAATTAATGACAATCAAAGTCAGGTAGCACACGTTTAACGTCTACTATCGAGGCTCTCCGTAAGAAAGTCGAACTCAGTAACTCGCGTAATGCTTACGTTATGCACATTCTCAACACATTGAGTCTCATCTCGGCAAGAATCAACAGCAACCGAAAATTCTAATAGCGTTTCTCTTCAGTCAACTTCATTTTAATACTGTTAGTTAGGATGTGTTTTTCGCGGCGGCCATCTTGTTATGCGCATTAAGAGATGCGCAGTGCAAAACCAGCGAATCACCTTAGCAGCCACTCGGGATCACAGTTACAGGACCACTACCACAACATATGGACAAACTGAAAGATTAGATGTACTTGTTTAACGAAAGCGCTACTAAAATGTTCCCGTTACAGTCAAACCAGGTCAAGCGTACCCCCAAAGAATCCACTAATGAATTTATTATTCGAAAGTCGAATCCGTTCCCAGTTGTAGATTTCAGATTGATCTCTGCATTCTTGCCTGCATAATGAGCCGTGAATTCACACGCGAGGCAGTTATGAAATTTCTACCAGCTCAGTTTTCCTGAATTTGATGTAAATGTCTTCTGAGAAACTTAATCCATTCAAAGATTTTCAATCTGACCAAATACAGAGAAGTTCTCGTACGATAGCGGCTCATTACGCATGCAGACACCAGTTACGGGAACGACTAACGGATTCATTTTTCAATAATCAATTCATTAATAGAATCTTGGGGGGGTACGCTTGTCCTGCCGTGACTGTAAAAAGTACTCAATAAAAGTCCAATAAAACTATTCATGGTTGTCATTTGCTCTAACAACGGCAAGCAAGGGATTCCAACTTAAAATATCTAGGCTAAATATTTCAATTTGTGCCATCGATTCTCGGAAAAACTGATAAAGCGAATACTATTTTACTATTTGGAAAATTCTAAGGTCACTGGAGTGTAACAGCAGGCACTACGAAAGGATAACGTAGGTGGTCTTGTGTGGTGACATGACGTGGCAGATCCGTGGTGACATCACCAAGGAGTCAGTTAATCATTTTTTTTTTTTGCTGTTGTCTTTGTATTCATCAGAAAAGCTATTTAATCCTAACGCACGTATAACAAAACAAGATGATGCCGATGTACATGAAATTGCTTGACTCAATGCGGTGTGTTAAAATTTCCCCCTTGTTCATCAAAAGCCATTTCAGTCGTAACCGGAACTACGCGGAGCACTTGAAATGAAGGAGAACTTGAAGGTCTTGGAGAAGTTCGAGGCCTCTCTTTATCATCCTCTGCTATATATGCAGTATTTTCCCTGCTGTTAGCGTGACCATTGGTTTTCTCCCAGGCGTGGTGGACTTGATTGCTGGTTTGTTCAATTCCGTGCTCAACTTTGTCCGCGCCGATCAGTTCATCCTGTGGTTTCATGCGGATTCCAACTAGCTTATCGATCAAAAGTAGCTGGAGAAAAGTAGTAATCGCTGCCCAAGCCGAAACTGTTACAACAGTTAATGCCTGTACTCCTAAAAACTTCCAAGGACCGCCTTTTAAAATTCCAAACTCGTCAGAAAATGTGTATTCGACAGTGTCTTTCTCAGCAAAGAGGGCAACAGCCAGGAGCCCCCAAATCCCCGCTAAAAAGTGGGTGGGGACGCAACCAACTGGGTCATCGATTTTGAGTCGTTCAAGAAGAGCACACCCAGGACATGCGACAATAGCGCCAACAGCACCAATAAGGAGTCCTTCCCATGGACGTGCGACTGTGCAGATTGCTGCCAAAAGGAGACAGGTTTAAGTAAAAGACTGGTCGTTAGAGTTATTTGCGGCATACAGACTTTTTTGTGAATGGCATTTTATACAGTACATTTGCATTAGTTATACTTTTGAAAATGACACTAGCCACTGTCGATGACAGATCTACCTTTAGGAACTGTCTAAAAAAGCTTCAATGGTGTATAGTTCTTGGTGGTACAGTTGAGAAAAAGGAGCTAGTAAGACCATCTTTAACCACTGTGATTTAGGGGTTGGGTGATGGTCTGTTTATTTCCCCTGTGGTTTTAATCAGAAGAAGAAATCAAACATGAGATGTAGGCGACCTAAAAATGTATTATTGTCCATTAAGTTCGTATCAACCTTTATAGTCCACTGGCACTTAATTGTTTAATTGTGATCTCTTTAAGGTGACTGAACTCAATTTTGCGGGCGGTCAGCGGTAACTCGACAAACAAACATGGCGGCGAAAAAAGCAATGGTACACAGAAGACAATTTCTCAAAATCTACTCTTAAATTTTGTGATATTTGGCAGAATTTTTTCTGTTATCGTACTTTCAATAACAAGAACTTTAAAATGGAAGTTGAACGGACGAATTTTGAGATACATTTAATAATTACAGTACTATCATATTGTGAAAGGTTTGAACCCAGGAGTCATTTGAAAAGTAGACTGAGTTTGATCGTCCGGGTGAACGTAGTCCCGAATAGGACTGTTGTTGTTGACAGTGACTGACGTTTCGACAACCTGTGTTGAATCGTAGCCAACAGCTACCAGCGCCGTACAAACGATTTATTGACGAGATCAAGCAAAACTAACTACGAGAGAACGACTGGAGAACTGACAATTTGACTAACAATAGACAACTGTTTAACTGTGACAATAGACGGATCGAAACGCACCAATTACTGATTATGAGTCTTCATAGCCAATAACATCACGGCTTAACTGACAGACGACCAATAACATCGCGACGTAATTGAACAATCAGATCAATGACCAGAGTATAATACCATCAACTGACGTGATACAACTCACTTTGACTCTGAAGATGAGTACCGCACGGGTTGTCGAAACGTCGGTCACTGTCAACAACAACAGTCCTATTCAGGACTATGTTCACCCGGACGATCAAACTCAATCTACTTTTGAAATCATATTATTGATTATCTAAAACCCGTCTGTTAAAATTTGGTCAAATAAGTTTCAAATGGTAATGATCAATTATAGTAAGCTGTGCGCAAGTTTGTAGCAAAAGCTAATGAGTAATTTTATGTAAACTGAGCTAAAGTGAAATTTTAACGTCACATTTTACCTGTCAAAATCTTTCATCAGTATATTTTTCACTTGCCAAGTTTCAGCTTGTGAGCTGCAACCTTAACTTGCTCTTGTCATGATATGGCAAATGACATATACTCACAAACTGCCAAAACTGTGTTCAGCCACCTTAATCTAATTTTACTTAGCTTGCGTGCAGCCTCAAAACTGAATTGAAGGGGAAGAGGGAGGAAAGCGTGAATGGGAAAAGAGAGACTGAGCGGCGTCCCTTTCCTTCTCTCGCCTTTTCCTCTCCATTTTTCTTTCCATTTCCTCACCTTTCGATGCATGCCACCCAAGCTAAATTTTACTCTGGCTTTAGTCACGAGGGAGTAACAACGCGGGACTTACCAGTGATACCCACGAGACCTGACAGAATCCCGGTGACAAAGATTGGAATATCTATCTTCTTATTATAGACAATGTAACTGAAAAGAGAATGAAAGTGGAAAAACAGCTAACAACAAACCAAAAATCCATTATACTGTACAGGTGTAGCCAAACACTCGCAGGTCGAGGGGTTAAACGATAGAGGTGTTTGCAAAACATCGCTGTCAGAGAAATTTTCTCCATTCAGTCTTGTTTGTATTAGCTTTTAAGGAGTAGAAACTCCCACTAAATTGAGAGAAACATGAAAATAATCGCTCAAAACATTACAGAAGGTATTAATAACTCAGCAAATGAACAAACTTGAAGAACATTGAAATGGATCGAAATTGCGGGGTTTTGAAAACTTGTTGGCCCAATAGATTCTTGAAGTTCATTTTCGGTGTTTGAAACATGCTTGGGAAGTACAAATTATTTGTTCGACAAGAAGCTGTGAATTTGTCGTTTATATTAGGTACTTTCTTTTTTAACGTTAAGTTCAGTAGCGTATAAGGAAGCGTAATTGTGCCAAACGTAACAAAAATTAATGTCCTAGACAACAGTGACGCGGCCTCTTTGACACCTAACAAAAATGACTGCAAAAGCAAAAAAACTTGCATAAAAACGGAAGTCCTTGAGTCCTCCTCAAGGTGAGAAGTACCCAAGCATTTTGACAACTTTCTCACAGCTTCCTGAATTAATGCAATCTTTACTTGCAATTTTATCCTTCTTTTGGTGAATCTGAGGACGGGGTGTTTATTAAAAGGAAAAAAGCTAAATGTTGCTCTTTGACGTTAGAGAAAGTTTTGATTTCATATCAAGGCAAATTTGTGACTTGCGTTTTGATCAGAAAAGTCAAAATTTTTAGTTAGTAGTGATAACATCTTTTGTGATCAGTCAATTCGCACATCATTGCGCTTCACATGAGGGTGAAATTCTTTGCTGACATCATCATTAATTTTGCTCATCAGCGTACGAATTTACCCATTTACAAGTTGCCCTTCTGCCATAATTAACAATTATTGGACGAAGTTAAGCAAAATTATCGCGATTTGTCTGTGGCAAGCAGATCAATTATTTGTCGAAGCCGAAGGCTGAGGCAAATAATAACCGAGTTCAATAATTGTTTTATCATTCAATCTCCGAGTTTGTTTTTTTAATGAATATCTTCGGGCAGCGAAGCGATCTGCTATTTTCACGCAAGAGCGATCGCAAGAAGGAGAAAAGCACGGTTTCCTTTACGCATGTGCAGAATATTATTTGCAGCCAAACACAGTTGGACGGCATTGCGCGTGAGCAGACCATTACTTGTAGGCAGTTGGAGGTCACGTGGTGGGCTCTCGGCCAATGAAAAGAAAGGAAAATTTGCTTCGAATGATAATACACCTTGTTTGCCCCCCAAAACTTTGCATTAGCATTGTCTTCAATTCCTCGTGGGACCATTGTAATACTCAGGAGAAACTAAAAACAAAGGGTTTGTATTTTTTGTGCGGGAGAGGAGGGCAAACAAGGTGTATTATGGGAGAGGTGGTAATTGCGAATAGAAGCTGTTGCCGCATAATAAGTACAAATGAAGTTCAAATGTTGGAAAGAGGATGTTCAGAGAAAATGACACCCATAAATAACTTCTAAATTGCTGGGTGGTTAAAAAAAACGAGTAATCCATACCTTTGTAAAAAAAATAGGGATGAAGTTTTTAACAGCGAATTTCTCCGAAACTATTCGGTAGAATAGGGAGTACAGATATGAACGTGCACTCTCAATACTCACAGATGGTATTTTATTAGCTTGATCAGAGAATGATAAAAGATGGCATAAATGTAAACAAAGATTCGCCTATAGTCGGAGCGCTCGTGGATTCTCAGCTTTAATGACTCTGCAGAATGTTTTCACTCACATGGCCAGCATCTATGCAAGTGTATTGGAATAAAAGAAAGCGTTTACATAAGAAAAGAGTTAAACTCCTACAGGACTGGTTTGGAACACCAATATGGCCGCCATGACGTCAAGTGAAAACGCTCTATTCGCTAACATTTTATCTCAAAAGTTGGGCACTGATGAAAGTTTTTATCGTGATAATTACAGTACGTGAATCGTCATGGAAAAAGTAGTTATAATTAAAAACTCGTCATTATCGTTATTAATGTTTTACTCGTATCACAGCTTAAGCTTTTAACCTGCCTGTTACAGCTCACATACCTGTATGCTGTTCCCACAACTCCTCCTCCAATAGCTCCGTTTATCGTCACGACCGCCGACCTAATGCAATAAATTAACAATTAATGAATGAGGCTAAGTATCTTATGAAGAATTATCGAAATGGAGGAGGGTGTTATCCGTCGAGGCCGTAGGCTGAGGCGGATAACAACCTCCTAGATCTCCATAATTCTTCATATGATGCGAAAGCCGAATTCAATAATTGTTGTATTATTCATTCAAAATAATTCCTAGTTTAAAAATAAAGCTAATTAAAAACATACTTACCTCCATCGATGTTAAGTTCACCTTCGATAGTGCATGTTAAGGGTTATTCAGCTCAGCAAATATTGTCCAAATAGCAGATGTCGCCCTTCGAGTTGTGTTCTTACTGTTCTTGCCATGTTGTTAGCTATAATTTCGCCTAGTTCTTACTCTTGAAACGAGTGAAATGTCCGCCATTTTTGTGTTCACAACCAAAACAACTCAACCTCGTCCCCAGGTCTTCTCGGTTAACGGTAAATTAACCTGCAAGAACGCTGCATTTTTGACGTCATTTCCTCGTTAAAGACAAAATTCTTCCAAATTTGGTCATCAGTAACTGGTTATGGTGAATTATGCGTGTGCTTTTAGCCAATCAAAATCGGGGAAATATTTTGAATGAATAAAAATATGTAATAGAGAACACTGTAGTTCCCTAAATCACCACCTCTGATATTAACATAAACACAACAGTATCATATGTAACAAAAAAATAATAATAAATAAATAAAATAAGTCAATCAGGAGATTCTCACGAAATACTACTGAAATCTTAAGAAATAACATTGATGACCCCAAAGTCACTTCACTTAAGAAAAGTCATAAGAAGTCACTTCTTAAGTCGTACCTGGACGCTAGCTTCCATTTCATCCCAGTTATCCCGAATGTACTTCCGCAGTTGAAGCCCAACCATCCCCACCACAGCATGAAAGTCCCTAAGAGAACATTTGTCGGGGAAGCCATTTGTGTTGGAGGAGCATTCTTATCGAATCTTCCGCTACGTGGCTTTAGCATCATCGTCGCCACTAAACCGCTTACTCCGCCAACCAAATGCACTGCACTGCACCCAGCAATGTCCACTGCGCCCATTGTATAGAGAAAACCGTTTTCATCCCAAATCCAATGTGCCGGGAAGCTGTATGTCAGAGTGTTCAGGAATGAGTACAAGATGTAGGCTTTGAGTTTAATTCTTTCCGCCATTGCACCAGAAACAATGGTGGTCGCTGTAGTGGCGAATGAAAGCTGGAAAAAATACTGGGAATATACGTGACCTATTTTGCTTTCCTCTGCGTCTGTTAAGAAATAACCCAATCCACAAAAAGGATTCCCTCGTTCTGGAATGCCGAAACTGAACGCAAATCCAAACACCCAGTATGAGAATCCACCAAAAATGACGTCGACAGCGTTCTTTACCATGATGTTTGCTTCATTTTTTACGGAAACCATACCGGATTCTAGAAGACCGAATCCTGACTGCATTGTAAAAATGATAAACGAGTTTGTCAAGATCCACGTAGCATCTTCATACTCTATCAAATCCTCCTTCAGGTCTGTTGAGTTCATGTTTAGAATTCGTAGTGTCAGTTTAGTTTCTCTAAAAAGAAAAGAGACCTTCCGTGAACGTTCTCTTTGAAACAAAGTATAGATTAAATATTAATTAGTTCCAGATCTTTCTCAACAAGAGTGGAGTGCCTGCTAATAGATTCAGTGCGTCAGATCATTAATTAAATTTCTTCCTTCTGTCAATTTGTAGTTACGTCTATTTCGATATTCGCGTCGCAGATGGCAATATTTTAAATGCACAACGTCGAATAATTAACGCTACTTTGGAAAAAAAAGATATAAACATAAATAAGCCGATGCCAAGGAAATCAAAATTCATCCTGAGTACAGTTTTTTGTTCCTTAAAATCTAATTTGTGTATTAGCGGCTGGGCGTTTTCTAACGGTTGCTTTTTGAAGCAAAGTTTTCATAACCGCTCTTTCAAGTATTTCACATACAAAACCTCGGTAATTATCAAATAATGGAAAAAAAGTTGTAAATTCAAGTTGTTCCGCCTTTCCGCCGTAATTAAGAGTTAAAGCTGGTTTTTAAGCAAATCATTGACACTTCAGTTTGGACTTGCTAACGTTGTTGGAATTCGAAGTGCTTTAGGCAAATGAAAAATGAACGCCGTTTTACAAAATTACATAAAGAGCTCAGGATTCAATCGGGGCGTAACTAGCAGTACGCCAGTTCGCAGGTGTGTACCTGAAAAATCTGGAAGATAAATTAAAAGTAAAACCAAAGAACAGGAAAAGGAACACAAATATATTTCTTTTAGTTGTTGATTACTTTGTTTAGTTTCCTTTGGGATCATTAGACACCTTATACGCTACTCCTAGTGAATTTCACAGCATGCGCACTTGACGCCGACCAGTTTACGTAAGTACTCGCGGCTCCTTTTTCGTTTTCTTATGTATGAGGTTTAAATATTTTATACCTACGTTTAATTTTTACTTTTGCATCGCTTTTAGCAATCTGACTGCGTTCACTTTGTTAATTTTGTGCTCAGCATATCTTGTTATCTCTTTTGATGCAGCTTGAGTCTACCTCTTCTTAGTGTTCTGTATCTTTATTTATTTTGTTTTTTACATACTTTTATAACCGAAATATTTCCTATTCGGCTGAGCGTAGCGATAGAGAATACAAGGGAAATTTCATAATAAATGTCAAACAATCTGATACAGCGGATCTTTCCCGATTTTGTCTCACGCGACTTAAGCCGTAACTGGTGCCTCAACAAATATAACAATATAACACGGTCTCAAGACCATTATGTAGAAAAATGATTATCTATTCATACGCTGATAACGCTGTGCGTACTTTATCTTCTTTATCTTCGTCCTTGTTTAAAAAGCGCTATAAACTTCTCGATCTCAAATGAACGGTGGGGTTATTTTAAGCACGAAAATAACTAGAGAAAAGAAATAGTTATTCATCAATTCGCCAACTGTTTGACGGGAAACAGGTTATACTTAGTTTTTATGCATTTGTGCCTGTGTGCCTCAAGGCACCAGCGAACGTAACTAATTAAAGTGATGGAGAAGCACTGAGGAAGCTACCGTCCATGTGAACTTAATTGTAGCACGGTAGATCCGACTCAGTGACCACGTCCTTGGTCCTGGTTATCGTTTTAATAAATTATTTGAGTTCGGCAAGTGCAATCTAGCGAGAACTGTTCTTTGAGGCACCCTACTATAAAAAAAAAACAGTTTTATTTGTCATTAAAGCGGATAATTGAAGTTCGCCGGCGACTGGGCATTTGATGGCCATAACATCAACAGTGTGGAATATTTAAATAGCTACAGGATTTTTAAAGCACACATAAGACACAACCTGCTGGGCCCTAAAATACTGTTTTTTCGTGTAAACTGAACACGTTATTGGCAAAGACCTAAATTGATTTTACCGCTCATTTTATATCACCTTGGCTTCCAATGATGGTTTTTTTTAGCTTTTTCTTCCCTAAAAGTTGAATTTAAGGCATAGTATGTTATTATTATCTTTAGTTAGGAATAACATTTCTAACGTTGCTATTAACTCTGTGAGACTCTGGCATAACTACCCAAAGTAAAAGAAAGGATTATTGAAAAAAAATTAGTGTTAGTTTAACAAATACTCAGGAGCGAAAGTGTCGCCGAAACTGTGGAGATAATATGGGAGGCAATGCCACAAATTAAATTCAGCGGGCAGCGATGAAGATAATCATCGCAAAAGCCGGAAAAAGACATTTATCGTTATTTTCCTTAATCATTCTGATAATGCATTAACTTCCATTAATGAAAATTTAAATTTCGGGGCGTTATATAATCAGTTTTAAATGGAGTTTTTCCTTACTGTACATAAAATAAAAAATCACTCAGTATGCCATTTCGACTGATTTCCCTTACGCGAAAAAAGAAAAAAAAAATTGTAATTCGAATTTTGCTGTATGAAGAGTGCACCTGCGCGTATTCGAGGATATTGAGCTTTTCGAGAGTAAACTGGAAAATGTTTTCGATCGAGAATCAGCTAGTTAATGCAGTACCTCGTATTAAAATGTTTCCTAACCTATTTTTTAACTAAGTCACTTAACGTGTAAAGTATATTGTATCATTTAACCCCTTGTATCTTAAACATACCGTGCGCAACATATGTGAGAGGTTTTCGAAGAGTGATACAAGTTTATCCTGTTCCTGTTTTCCGCTTTTAGTGCTTGTCCTTCAATGTGAAAACTGTTTCGGCTAAAAAGTGAAAAATGTAAAAGCATATAACACAAAAACTAAAATAGGGTAGACGGGCGATGCTCTTGGGAAGGCAGTGTAGAGAAATTACTTGGTGAAATTGACACTACCGGCAAATGAAACAATAAACAAATCTGTTATAAAGTTGGTAGAATATTACACTTTTCTTACCTTAGCTTTTCTACACGAGGGCATTAAGCACTTAACTCGTATATGGCATGCTCTTAGTTATCATTAAACAGTTCTGTTTTCTTAACCCTTTGTTGCATCACAGTTAAGAGCTTGAACTGAGAATTTTCGTTTTATTTGTTCCGTCTTGGACGAGTAGTTGGTGACGTTTGAATGCTGCTGTCTTTGTGTTTCTCTTTTTAAAGAAAATTTGCATTGCGCATTAAAAAGGAACAATATTTAGTTTTCTCTCATGCGATTATCCTTTGTTTACGCGACGGATTTCTCTTAGTATGGCCAGCTCCTTCGTCGTTGTTGACAGTCAAATGCAGTCACGAAACGACAGAAATCTTTCCTACATGTTGCTTTTCCTTCGCGATTGCCACCACACTTCCCTAATTTTATGTCCCTGAAATTCTGCTGACTCAATGAAATAATTATAATTCTTATTTTCTTACTTCCTTGAATGGAACACCTGCAGCTGTTTGTCTCAAAATTGGTTATTGATGCTAGAGATGGAGAACCAGAATCTCATCACTGTCACCGACGACAAAAAATACTCTGTGAGACAAAACGCGACCACAACAGCAGCAACCGTAGCCTGAGGCACGTTTTGGATCAATTTGGGAAACTGCTGACCTACCCCTCCCCTCAGTTAACATTAATACTTGCTTCTTACTTGGGGTAAAATGTTGGGTTAGGGGAGGGGTAGGTGGACAGTTTCCCAGAAACCTAAATTGATCCAAGTAAGGACCCGTCCACATGAATCCGGATATTTTTTCTAAACCGCGGCTTATTTTTTTACACAAATGGGCCTTCCTTCCACACGAAACCAGTGCATTCACTCATCGAAACCGCATCTTTTTGAAAACGCTCTCCAGAGTGGCTCAAGGCTCCGTCTACACGAAACCGGGTAATAAAATATGCGGTTGAAAATCCGTTCGGATTCGTGTGAACGGGGCTTAAGACGAGTTAGTCGCAGTGTATCTAAGTGGGCCAAGAAATCATGTACACGCTGACCAGACGCCGAGTGGCTGTCGGCAGCAAAAACGTAATTACTTCAGTACTTTTAAACTTCATTGCGATTATCTCCACTCACTGCCATATTTGTCAAACGTAGAGGAACTTCTAGCCTGCGAACAGCGGACGCATTTCCGGTCGTCGCTTCTCTCCGACCGGAAATGCGTCTGCTGTTCGCAGGCTAAGGAACTTCCCGCAGTTGAATCCCGTCGTAACGGAAAAGCAAAAAAGTCTTCCTTAAAAGGACTCCAGGGAATTTTGCGTAGTGCGCAAGTGGAGAGTTGTTGTTTTGCTTAGCTAAGAGCTTTTCTTACCTTCATCTTCGCAATAGTCCATATGGGCCAGATACCAGAAGCGAACACATTAAATAGAGACAAAAAATGCTGGATGTAAAATTTCTAATCTTTTTTCCTGGTGAGAAAAAGAAGCTAAAAGATATCCTCATCAGAAACTGCCTGTCCAGTATTTGAGTATGTCTGGAAATGAAAACAAGTTGTTTCATCAGTATGTTTTTTTATGGTTGTTTTTGTTGTTGTTTGTTTGTTTGTTTGTTTGTTTTATCTGGAATTTAATGACTTTGATTAGTTTTTCAAACTTACAAGCAAAAATTACGAATTACTTTACCCCAACAGAAACTTAAAACACAAGGCAGCAACAAATCACATGGCACACTACTAGATTTACCGCTAAAAAATTACAGCTCAAAATTGACAACTTAAAGAAGACAGTACTAGATGTACATCAGTAAACACAGTACACTCTGCACACAAATTCGCGATTGCAAGTATCCTTACCGTGGCTATTTCATATCGCCTTATTTGAAAAGTCCGTCCTCAGAATTTTATTTAAGAGTTCGTGATCAACCGTTACAACCACGTTACAATTGGTTTATTTGCAACAACGTACTCTAATCACTAGATAGCAACTTCTTAAAAGATCATATTATCAGTATTAATACCAAACGAACTACCTGTTAAGTCAGTCCTAAATTTCCAAAGGGTGGTATAAAAGAAGCCAATTCTTTTTAGAGGGTCTATTGCATGAAACCTCTTTAAATTAACTGGTGAGTGTTTGTGAATTATTGTTTCTTGTGATTTTCTGAGTTTGGTTCATCCATGAGCAGCGAATGAAATTAATAAAAAATAAATGTATTTTTCCTTCCAGAAAGCCAGCAGCTCGACAGAAGAAGGGAATCATGTATAAAAACTCAATTTAAATTCATTTAAATGGATGTAATTTGACGATAAACATGGCTGTAGTAATGACGACTTAACATCGTTCTGAGGTTTAAAAAACACACAAACAAAACATGGGTCGTGCCAGCAAGCGTGTAAATTTATTTAAAAAAAAAAACAGAAGTCCCCATTCCAGTATGTTTGTGTCAAAACATCTGTTTTGGTATGTTTGGGTCAAAATATAGTAAAACATAGTAAGATTAAGGGTAAAGGTGTTGTGAAATGTTTGCAGGGGAGAATGCTGACGTTTTTAAACTGAGCTTTGAGTGGTCTTCCATAAGTCAAAATGACATTAAATTTTCATAAATAACTGATTCTAGATCAAAGTTTAGTAAGATAACGTTTCTGGATTATTCGGTACTACTATATATATGGCTCAAAGATAAACACACATGCACAAAATATCCAACTCATTAAGAGTGAAATCATTACCGGTCGTTTCAGTTCCCGCAAGAATTTCAAACTAATTAAAATGTTTCTTCCTGCATGGTTGACGGCCTTTTTGACAGACCTAAAGTGAACTATTTTTTAACCAACATAACATAAAGCTTTATTTGCATCACATACATTCACGATTAAATGAAAGTGATCGAGTACATATTTGTGCAACAGTCACAAGATTGATAGCTAGTGTCTTAAATTTGAAAAGTTTGTGTCTTGATTTAACAAAAGTTTGAAATATGCCACAGAGTTTTTGGAATGTTAAGTTTACGTAAACTAATTTGTGACGATTATCTCTATTTTATTTTTTTAATTTTTGAAATGTTTATTTGTCTACTGAGATGGGTATAAATAATCGTAATGACCACAGGTAAAGTTGTATTTAATTTTGCTTTTTCGGAGAAGAAGCTATATGCATTTTATCAACTTAAAAAATTGATATAATCGGATGAGAAATCCCTTTTAGTTGCATGCAGTTGTAGGGCATTTAGTTAGACAGGCTTTGAAAGGTTAAGTGATTTTTCACTCCTTAGTTGTTGTTTTCAATAAAAGTTGGCTGTTAGATTTCGTATTAGAGTCTCGATGGTTGAGAAACATCAGTATTAGTGGTACAACAACTGTTTTGAGATTTTTCCCAATTAACCCGTCACTGATATCCCTGTCGTGACTCTGCAATTAGTTTATGATCTTATCAAGCATTTCCCCAGACAAATAGAAAAATTTTGTTTTTGAATATGACTGTTTTGGTTAGACTGTGCCTTAAAATATACTGATCCGCAAGAACTATAATACCTTCCAATTGCCTTGTAACTCAACATTGTTTCCATTGTAACTGTTTAAGTTAGACTGCGCAAAGTAAACTGATCCGCAAAAACTACAATGTGTTCAACATATGAGTGACTATTTTATATAAGGTGACATGAAGCAGCCACGGTAAACCCAACATTGCGAATTCGCTTTGGCGAACTACACTTTGGGAAATCTCAGTAACGTTCAGTGTTTTAAGAATACGTGTTCGGCTAAAAGAAGAATTTCGTCAAAGGCAGAAGTTTTGTAGGAGGTGGGTCGCTGAGTGGGGTTTGGCCATGTCATTTGGCGATTACATTAGTTTTAAGGTAGCAATTGTCACGCTAAATTGGATTACCTTTTGTAACCTAAAAAATTACCTTGAAATTAATAAAAACCTCAAAATAATTATCAGTTTGTTAAAATAGTATCGAAGAGTGTTTAGTAATAAATTCTGTATGGAGTAGATTATGACTCACGTTAGAGGAGATCGAAATAGACTACAAAGAAAAAACTTGCTTGAAAATTTTAAGCGAAATTTTTCAATATGGAGCTCCCTGAAAAGCCAAAACATCTAAGATTTTAATGTTTAGTATATTTCATGTATATACTGTTTAGTGTTAGACTGGTTTCTATATAATAAAACGTCAAAGATAACCACAAGCTGTGACAGTGCAAAAAACACCTTGTTCAAAAAATCGACTATCGAATGGAATAAAAAGAAATTCAAAAGTTAAATATACGTACATGCGAAAACGTTTTCAAGACTTGCGCTAACTTACGACAGAACAGTTTAAATCTGAGCCTCTTGTTGATGATCATGTTTGAGTCTAAAATCGTAAGGCGTTTTCCTCTTTCATACAAATTAATCATCCTATTATAGAATTAGGCGGGGCAGTATTTTGCGTATTCTGCGGTACAATTATGACGGTACACTTGCTTTTACTCAATAATATTATAGCCTAAATACAGCAACAAAAAAAGAACTAGAATTTCGGAGGTGTAAGCAAACCTTAATCAATAGATTTTGAGTGATTGTTCCCAAATAGAACTTTCAAAGTTGAGAAATGTCGGTCAATCGGGTTTTAAAAGTTATTTCCCGGTTTCAATCCTACTTGTATTTATTCCATTCGTGTACTAATAAGGAAGCTTTTAACAATCCCGGGTCACTCAATGGCGGTTTCCATTGAGTCCGCCGATTTTCTATTACCACTAATGGTGACACTGTCCATTTAAAGTGAATATAATTTTACATTGTCGGTGTCGTGGAGACCATCTACATCCTTGTGTCACGAAACCTAAGTTGTTTACTTTAAGGTACTCGACATACAAAATTGTAAAATATACTTGCCTGGGGCTTTCTTCAATCTTTAGGG